TTTTTGTCTCAGGGAGGAGGGCTCCAGAGACACAACTCATTTACGCCGGAGCCAAATCGCTCGCTCACCACCAGGGCTATTTTTGGGCCGGAACGGAGTTCCGGCTGGTTTACGAGTTGGCCGCGCCCACTACAGCCAAAACCTCTGTGTGCGTGGCTATAGAGAGAAGGCCTGGAGAGCAACCCTAGCCAAAACCTCTGTGTGCGTGGCTACAGAGGGAAGGCCTGGAGAGTGACCCCCGGCAACTCTGAGGTGGATGGGCCAGGGGGGCTTTGGAAGGATCAGGGAGGCATTTCAATGGGGGGGGGGGGATTTTCCAGGCTCCCTGCATCCACGGGGCACCCAGGCAAGCCAGGGGAGGGCATGGGGGTGTGGCCTAATATGGTAATGAGATGTGCCGTCAGGGTGTGGCCTAACAGGCTAATGCGTTTCTGCTGTTGGGTGTGGCCTATTATGCTAATGAGATCCTGCTGGGCTTTTTCTTAAAAAAAAGCCCTGCTCACCACTTTCATGCCAGGAGCTCACCAAGTAGGATTTTTGCTCACAAGACTCCACGGCTTACGGGAGCGTTGAACCTGACTGTTGCCTTCCCTTTCTGTCCCTTCCACCTTAACATCCAAGACAAGATAGAACAGCTCCGTTCATGCACAGCAACCACCACGGTGAGCCAAATAATGTGACTCACTTGGACGCCTGCCCCCAGACATGTCCAGCCTTTGTTACGTTTTTGGCAGGAGCGGCCTTTCCCCGAAGCAATTTACTCTACACGTCCACTCTCTATCCAGATGGTTTCTGAATGTCATCCCATTCTGGCTTTAGCTCAGCACTGACTCATGAGAAACTCAACAACAAGGAGTTGAGGGCTTGCAGCTAACATCCTCCTCTGATTCTGGGTCATGAGAACATCAGAAGAGCCCTGATGGATCGGACCAGTGGTCCACCTAGTCCAGCATCCTGTCTCACACAGTGGCCAGCTAGTTCCTCTGGAGGGCCAACAACAGGGCAGAGAGGCCGAGGCCTTCGTAAGAACCTCACAAGAGCCCTGCTGGATCAGACCAGTGGTCCATGTAGTCCATCATCCTGTCTCACACAGTGGCCAACCAGTTCCTCTGGACAACTAACAACAGAGCACAGAGGCCGAGGCCTTCATAAGAACATCAGAAGAGCCCTGCTGGATCAGACCAGTGGCCCATCCAGTCCAGCATCCTGACTCACACAGTGGCCAGCTAGTTCCTCTGGAGGCCCAACAGCAGGGCATAGAGGCCGAGGCCTTCATAAGAACATAAGAAGCGCCCTGCTGGATCAGAGCAGTGGTCCACCCAGTCCAGCATCCTGTCTCACACAGTGGCCAGCCAGTTCCTCTGGAGGTCCAACAGCAGGGCATAGAGGCTAAGGCCTTCATAAGAACATCAGTAGAGCCAGTTTGGCGTAGTGGTTAAGTGGATTTATACCCCGCCCTTCACTACCCAAAGGTGTCTCAGAGCGGCTTACAAACTCCTTTCCCTTCCCCTCCCCACAAGACACCCTGTGAGATAGGTGGGGCTGAGAGAGCTCTGACAGAAACAGAAACCTTGAAGGGCGGGGTATAAATCCAGTCCTTCTTATCATTATTTCATGTTTTGCACGCTCAAAGCCTCAGGTGCAATTACTGACCTCTCCAGTGGAAATGACAGAACATCCAAATCGCAAGGCGTGATAGTCCCGCTGTACACTGCATCGGTCAGGCCACACCCAAAGTCTTGTGTGCAGTTCTGGAGGCCTCACTTCAGAACAGTTGAGGACAGGATGGAGCGGGTGCAGAGGAGAGCGACGAGGACGATCAGGGGCCTGGAGACCAAGAAGCCCTAGGAGGGAACTTGGGAAGGTTCGGTCTGGACAAGAGGAGGTTGAGGGGGGACCGGATGGCTCTCTTGAAGGGCTGTAAATTAGAAGAGGGCAAGGAGCTGTTCCTGTTGGCAGCAGAGGAGAGGACTCACAAGGGTGGGAAGGTATGTTATTAAAGAGTCCAGTGTTTTCAATGTAACTTCAAAAAAGATGTGGACAGAATGGAGCGGGTGCAGAGGAGAGCAGCGAGGATGATTGGGGGCCTGGAGACCAAGCCCTGTGAGGAAAGGCTGAGGGACTTGGGAAGGTTTAGTCTGGAGAAGAGGAGGCTGAGGGGGGGACAGGATGGCTCTTTTGCAGTATCTGAAGGGCCGTGTCACTTAGAGGAGGGCAGGGAGCCGTTCCTGTTGGCAGCAGAGAAGAGGACTCACAAGAATGGGTTTAAATTAAGGGCAGGAAGGGACCAGCTGGATTTGAGGGAAAACGTCTTGACCGTCAGAGTTGTACCACAGTGGAATCAGCTGCCTGGGGCGGTGGTGAGCTCCCCCTCCCTGGTAGTCTTGAAGCAGCGGCTGGACAAACACTGGTCAGGGATGCAGGCTGACCCCTGTATCGGACTAGATGGCCCACTCCAACTCTACAGTTTTTGTGATTCTGTGATCTGATCCAGGGAGAGAGAAACCTTGGAAAAATCAGTCAGTCAAAACTGGCTACGCTGAGCCTGACGGAGTCACGATTGGACCTGGCATAAGGCAAACACAGATGCCACTTAGGGCTCTGCCGGCCCGAAAGCCGTCACAGCCGCTGCGAGCCCATCCCCGTCTCACCCTCGTCGGCACCTCTCGTTGCAGGTCTCGAGTTCGAGCGCTGGCTCAACGCGACGGGCCCTCCTTTAGCCGAGCCGGACTTATCTCAGGGATCCAGTCTGACCAGCCCGGTGGAGACGCTCTTTTTTTTTCCTCTGGACGACGGAGCCTCTGGACGTGGCCGCCGCGTCCGGCTGCGTCGACATCACGAAGTGGCAGACGTTCCAAACGGTGCTTTTCCTGGACAGGCTGTTGGACGGCTCGCCGCTGCCTCACGGTGAGTTCGGCCGGGTTTGTGGGGGCCGGAAGCGCTGTTCTCGGAAAGGCAGGCGGCACGGTCTTCCCATGCTTTTTGAGCCCGTGGGCACTTTTGGGAATTCTGACACAGGGTGTTGGGCACAACCACAAGATGGCTGCTGCAGGAGGCGGGCCGGCCACAAGATGGCTGCTACAGGAGGCGGGGCCAGACACACAGAGGAAGCCCGAGTGCAGGGGAGAAGAGGGATAATTTAAAAAAAACACTAGGAAAGAACTGCGGAAAGAACTGCACTACGGTCGGGGGCCCAAAATTTATTGGTCATCCTGGGCCCCAAGGATACCAAACTAGCTGTGACCAGGGCCAGGGCTTTTTCGGTGGCGGCTCCTACCTGGCGGAACAAGCTCCCGGGGGAGATCCGGGCCCTGCGGGACCTTGTGCAATTCCGCAGGGCCTGTAAGACAAAGCTCTTCCACCAGGCCTTTGAGTAGGAGCCGCCGCCCTACTATACCACCACCGTCAAGACATCTTAATGGATGCATCGACGAGGCCCAAGGAAGAACCTAGAAAATACAGAAGATCTGATAAGCCGTCGCCACAGATATGTACGCCATAGGAGTACCATCTGGAACTGCGGTGATACTATCTTGGATCTAGGAGACTAGTAATTGGATAGAGTACTGTGGTTTTAGTACTGATGTTTTTACTATGTTTTTGTCTATGGCAAGGCTAACGACCTTGCCCCTGTTAGCCGCCCTGAGCCCATTGGGGAGGACGGGATACAAATGTAAAAATAAATAAGTAAATAAAAATAAAGTGGACACTGGAGGCAGCTGCCACCGAAACGGTGGGCATCCCGTTGGGGACCCCTGGTCTTGCCCCATCTTGTCAGACCTCAGAAACGTAAGCACAGCCGGGACTTGGATGGGAATGGAACCCACCAGGGGAGACTCCGCAGAGGAAAGCGCGGCAAACCCCCTGTCCTTTTCACTTGCCTCGAAATCTCCTTGCTGGGGCCGCTCTCGGTTGCGACTTGACGCCATTTAACATACTTAAGAGTTAAGTCGCTCGCTTGACAAAGTAGTCGGAGAGTGATTCAGCAAAGATTCAGCTTTATTCCACAACTCGAACACAACTCCAACACGGATCAACATCTGATAGCCAGAACAGCTTTTACATTGCAGCTGTCCTGCTTTTAAACTCTCCCGGCTAATGTAGCCACGCCTACTGTTCATTGACCAACCAATAAGGTTGCATACATAAGGACCAATCATGGATGCTCCCGCTCAGGGCTCAGGGAGCTTGCTAGAAGGTGATTGGTTAGGTGCTTCCTGGGCTAGCAGTGTGATTGGATGTATTTGGATCCTAGCCCAGGACGAAGCTTAACATAGCATTTCAATTAGATGTTTTCATGGCAGCTTATTGAATACATTACACTAAGCGTGTGGCCAAGGAGCACTGGGGATGTTTAAAGCCGTCAGGCACAGCAACAAAAGGGTTGGCACAAAATGGCTGCCACAGGGAGATGAAGCCGCCCGCAAAATGGCTGCCACAGTGAAGATCCCCGTGTGCTACAGTGGCAGCTGCCGCCAAAGCAACCTTTATAAGAAATCTGCGCAGCCAGTCAGAAGCCTTGCTTGAGAGCCAGTTTGGTGTCGTGGTGAAGAGTGGTGGGCTCGAATCTGGAGAACCGGGTTTGATTCCTCACTTCTCCACGTGCAGCTGCTGGTGTGACCTTGGGCCAGTCACAAGTTCCCTCCGAGCTGTTCTCTCAGGGGCAGTCCTCGGAAGGGTCCTCTCAGCCCCACTTACCTCACAGGGTGCCTGTTGGGGGGGAGGGGAAGGGAAAGGAGATTGTAAGCCGCTCTGAGACTCTGAGTGAAATGCGGGGTACAAATCCAATCAGTTTGGTGTGAGAGCCAGTTTGGTGTAGTGGTTAAGAGTGGTGGGCTCGAATCTGGAGAACCGCATTTGATTCCTCACTTCTCCACATGCAGCTGCTGGTGTGACCTTGGGCCAGTCACAAGTTTCCTCTGAGCTGTTCTCTCAAGTGCAGTCCTCGAAAGAGTTCTCTCAGCCCCACCTACCTCGCAGGGTGTCTGTTGTGGGGAGGGGAAGGGAAAGGAGATTGAAAACCGCTCTGAGACTCCGAGTGAAGGACAGGGTATAATTCCAATCTCCTCTTCCTCCTCTGAACAAAACTGCTGTGAACTCAACAGAATATGGGAGAACCGGGTTTGATTCCCCCACTCCTCCACATGGCAGCTGCCGGTGTGACCCGGTTCTCCCGGATTAGAATCCGCGCTCCTAACCAGTGCACAAACCTGGCTTTCTGGCTGTAGGTGACGTGAAAGACTTTTGCCTGAGACCCTGGATAGCTGCTGCCGGTCTGAGTAGACAATACTGACCCTCAATGGACCAACCGCCTGATTCCCTAGAAGGCGGCCTCCTGTGTCCGTGCACGTTGCAGTGCTTAACTTTTCTAACTTGCGCCCTTCAGAGGTGATATCGAAGCTCTCCGAATGCTACTCGGCCCAGCTGGACGGCATGAACGCTGAGATCCGTATCCGCTGGCTCCAAATCATCGTCCGCAACGACTACTACCCCGACCTTCACAAAGTGCGGCTCTTCTTGGAGAACCAGGTACTGGAAAGCACTTGCGCCTCTCGGGTGGGCCGTGAGACTTGGGCCTGAAACAGGCAACAGGCCACGGATCCAGGAACGTCTGCCTCCTGGATGAACGCATAGGGGAGGGGCCATGGCTCAGCGGCAGAGCATCTGCTTGGTCCCAGGTTCGATCCCCAAGTTCTCTAGCCAAAACAGCAGGCAGTGGGTGATGTGAGAGACCTCCGCCTGAGACCCAGGAGCGGTGTTCCCTGTAAGCTGAGTCAGTGTGAGCTAGCTCAGAGTTTTTCCGCCTCCGGCTCACATATTTTTGTCTTAGCTCACTAGGCGCTGGCCCAGAGGTTTAGGAAAAAACTGGGGGAAAGGGGGGGGGGAACTCAACCCAGGATATGACTACGAACCAAATAGGGCTAAGCTAAACCATATATATAAAAAAGTACAAATATTTATTTACACGTGTTAAAACTTTCCTGATTAAAAATTGCTTTGTCTCAGATCAGATTATAAAAGCTTGTCCACTATACATACAAATGATGGGTAAAAACTTTACAACTGAAGACCAAACACATTTCAGCCCCTAAGGGTCTTCCTCAGTGGTCACTATTATCTATATACTCTAGACACACATTCATAGACCTTTGATGGAGGGACGCACATTCAGACC